CTATCTGTTTTTCTTATATTGTGTTTACAGTGTTGCATATATGCGGAAAAGTGAAAAAAAAAAGCATAACTACTAAAATAGTGGCCCGATCATGCCAATTTTTGAACTTGACCTGCGTTTTAGTAAGATTGATTACTCCTGTGAGTTTCATGACAACAGGCCTATCGGTTTTCCTTGAAATGTGTTTACAGTGTTGCAGATATGCTGAAAGGTGAAAAAACAGCATAACTTCTACAATAATGACCCGATCATGCTGATTTTCGAACTTGACCTGCGTTTTATGAATATTCATCAGCTCTGTAAATATAAAGCCAAAAAGTAAAACTGCCCTCCACTTATCGTGTTTACAAGGAAAGTGCAAGGCACCGGCGACGGCATCGGCGACGACAGACACAGGTGATGGCAATATGTACAGACACATCAGTGTCTGTACATAAAAATGGTTTTGATGAACAGATTGGATTCAAAATCAGACACGTCAAATTTATGACCACCTGTCCAAAGGCAACAACCAGAAAGATTTCATAAGTATGCCCATGGAGCATTTGTAACAAGCGGGTTATGCAACTAACCTCTGATTACGACAATCACAGTGAATCAGACTTTTCCGATTTGGGTTCAGAGCATAACGTTTCAGATGCTGACAGTGAAGAATCTACTTGAATAAATTCACTTTGAGACTAAGAGTCCCTGTTTCAATATCGTTCTTGCCTGCAATTGGTTTAATCAGGTAATTTTCAAAAAAATTCAGGACTGGCTACTTTTGGTCAGGGCTGGATACTTTTCAAGTTGCCAGCCCTGCTGTCCGGTGTGGCGTGATAGACCCGTGCCGTGACGAAACCGTTCTGCACATGCGCATTGAGGGTAGATTGAAAGAAGTAACTTCCGGTATGACGATGTCGTCCTAAGTAGGCGCTATGTTTGCACTGAACTATGATTTTCCAATTCATAATTCAGTGGTTTTCGTCATGAGAGAGTATGTATTTGATAATCTTATTACTACAGTATACGGGGGAATGTTGGAAATGAGCTTTTGATCGTGACTGAACTGTTTTGCTCTGTGTAAAAAACATGGCAGATCTAAGACTCGTAGTATAAATCTTTTCACTCTACAATGTTCTTTCAATTCAGAGTTCAGTCATTTTCATTAAAAAGAAATTGTGTATTTGATAATACTACAACTTTCTCTACGGGGAAATGTTGGAAATGCATGTGCAGCTACGTACTGTAAGTCAATTGACTGCTACCCCCGCGTGAATAATCCGCCAGAACGGTTTATTCACGACGACGGTTTCTTCACGTGACACCGGTTTCAAATTTATACGAATTTCATACCCTGCAACTTGATGTCATTTTTTGTGCTTAATTTTTGGCTGAGATGTGGCAATTGTAGCAACGTACCCTAAATAACTGTCTTCTCCATCTTCTACTGACCTCTATGATCATTTGTCACCTGAATTACATAATAATGTACAGAATACCCTGTGGGAGCAGACAGCTAGCTCGCATGGAGGTTATTTAGGAAATTATTAGACTTGGCCTCGTTTTCAAAGAGGGGAGGGGGCGCAGCTCTAAGAGAAAATAGCCCAGAGACCGGTAAGTTGTAGAGGTGTTTATACAATGGCCTTTCGAGGTTTATACTAATAAACTTAACGAGACGATATAGTATATAATTATGTAACATTTTATACACCAAAGGAATATCCGTGCATCGATTTCACTGAATGTTAGTTACTGGCGAGTAGCAAAATTGATACTAGAAGTTGTGAAAGATACAACAATGTCAGACTTTACGAAAGGCCAAAAAATATGTCAGACATTCGGTCTGACAAGCTTGAAAATTCTGTCAGACTGAAACAAAATCTGTCAGACCGAAGAAAAATAATAGAAATATGAACCATTATTCATGTTTTCATGTGTATTTTCTAACGTTTTAAATCATTGACATTAAATCAAATATTATTTTTTGATATATATTTATTTGTAAAAAAGTAAAATAAGAAAGAAAAAAATAGGCAAAAAATTACTTGCATAACAAGTTGTTTTTTATTGAATGAAAAAGACGCTGTGGAATGACACAAGGACTAAAAACAATACAAGTATGAAGAATGTGTAGCTAGTAATATCAAATGTATGTCCATAAAAACGTCTGTTAATCAGATAACCATTTCACACGTTGTTTTTGGCAATAACATATGCATTTTGAAACAGCACAGTAAGGCAGTCTCTTTCATCCAATTGAAGCTTTGACAGGGACTGTCCAGTCCGAGTCTAAGTCCTTTTTCATTTTATTATTATTTTTTTTTTATAAAAAGAAACTCAAACTGTGAGCTTTCATCAAGTTCATGTGCACTTTCTCCAACTCATGATGAACGGTACATGCAAATACGTACATATGTTCCATAATTTAAGAACCCGTAATAAAGCTGTAACAGTTATGTTGCTATTGATCAAAATGATAACTTTAGTACTCCTGACACTCGGCACACACTATTTTCCTCTCCTACAGATCACAAGTCCGCCAGGGCCTACCTTCTTTCCAATTTTATTAAACTTCCTTTTCTCTTCCACACTTCGTTTTCGTTTTTGCCACGCTTTACACCAACGAAGTGTTTAAAGTTCAACAACGTCATTTTCTAAGCAAAAGGCTTATCCATGAGTACTGTGTACGACTAATAATGAAGAAACAGAGGATCAAGTCGGTAAAAACGCAAATAGCACGAGTACATGTGTTGCGGCCATTTTGTTGTGTAGGGTATTACGAAAACGAAAACGAGACTGTACATTACATCATTCAGGAATTCCCCAACCTCAGCCAGTCACAAAATAGTATTTGTGAGTGAAACTGAGGTTCATAAATTAAGTATAATTAGCTGGGAACTCCCCGAGATTTTCACACCGTCTCTCTTTTCGAATGAAGTAAAATATATCGTTCAGAAAAGAAACAACAACGTATTCCTTATATTTACACATTCCCAGTCAGTTTGAAAACTCGCCGGACATAAGGTCCGACGATACAGGATTTTTTATCGGACCGAGACGAAATTTGCCAGGCATGTCCGACGGTCCGACGCCTTTCGTAAAGTCTGGTATCAACATTGTAAACTAACCATAGGCATGTTTTAAAATATATGAATCTTAAATTTGGCTTTAAACATGTTTACTTTTTGCCTGCGGGGTGTGGGGGTGTGTGCAAATGTATTGTATCAATTTTGAGGAAAAAAAACATAAGAATAAGTTTTATTGCGCCATTGGTTTGGCATTTTGAGTGGAATAGTGTCATAAAAATGGCAATACATAAACACAGATGAATAATATGTGTGTTTGCATGTCTTGTCAGTAAGTGATAGGCAAATAATCATTTAAGGGACTGTTGGTTTTGACCATTACGGAATTGTTTTTGCAAGCAAAACTTTGGTTTTTAGTCTGGTTAGGTGAACCAATCTGAGGATATGGCAGCTAGCATCTGTGTTTTGTTATCATACCTTTATTTTCCATTTGCGTATTGCAAATTTAAACATGGGGAAAACTTTGAAGGTGCTGAAGGTCCAGAGGGCCTGCACTTCATGTACCAGAAATTAATCTACAGATCCTTATTCTGTGGAGGTCCTTCAGTCGTTTCTTACATATGATTAATTTCTCTCTCTCTTTCTCTTTCTCTCCTTTAGTCGATGTTTACATATGATTCATCTCTCTCTCTCTCTCTCTCTCTCTCTCTCTCTCTCTCTCCAAACACACACACACACACACACACACACACACCTGCAAATGCATCACTTCTAAGTTAATTTGTGCCGGCCTTTAAAAGGAAATTACAGTTGTTTCACAAAAATAAAGAACATATAGTAAACACTCAATCTTTTTGATGGGCAAAAATTAACAAACATTCAGATACATCATTTCATAACTAAAATATTTATTCTTAATAGCATTTGTGGTGCTTTTACTGCATAGAATATAACTATATAGAAGTCAAGTATGTTTATAATTTTGTTTGTACCATCCCACAGGAATGATCTGATTTTTAGAAATTATGACATTGAAAATACTGAATACAATATTTGTAAAAATCACAACTTTTTCATATAGAAAAGATCAAGTAAATGTAATTACTATATAATGGGAAGATGAAGATCATCTGTAAAACTCATCTTTTAAAATTTATAATTATTGTGCATTAAATGAAACAGAACCTTCAATGATTAGGGCATGATAGTGGGTACATCACAATTTGTGGTGCCCCGACTTGCATGTTTTCTAACATTTTCAGGCCTTGATTCAAATTGGGTTTTTAATTGAATGATGGGTGTGCAACTTTGCCCAAAGTTCAATTCCAGATAAACTTTGTTTATCAATACTGTCATGAATTAAGTATAAATAGTGCAGTTTAAGGTAAAGATTGATTGTAAATGGTGCTGTTTAAGTTTACTTATTACAAATATTGCAATTTATTATTATTAATTTCAGTGTGTATGTGTGTGAGCATGCAATAAATGTAGTTAGAAATTTTTTTAGAGATATTCTATTGAAAACTCTATTAATTTCTTCTAGGCTTGAATAGAAATAATTTTTTCCTTTGGCATGTACACTTTAGAATAACTGTACAGTACATGTATTAGTGTATAACTTGCCTGGGCAATTACCTAAAAATCCCTGAAAAATACTTGAATTAGAGCCTTAAAGGTCCTTGAAAGCCAATTGCTCTTATGTGTCTGTATGAATCCTTGCCAGTGAATTCTGTGATAGAGTTGTTGGAATGACTAAATAATATACATTGTAGTATTCAGTGGTACAGTACAGTTGTATGGGATTTTGAACCCTTTAAAACTGAATTCATGGTCAAGTATACATGAAAGAACTACTAGTAATTTTGCTATAAATAACTGCACACAGACACTCCATTGTAAAAGTTAAAGATATTAGCTTTTGCCTAACTTAGAGAATATGGGGAGATTATCATATTATATTATAATACACAACTACTAATATATATAATGTATATGAACACAGTGATGTGGGAAGAGGTATAGTCACGCACCTAAAAATGTTATGCATATAATGCATATGCATATCAATTCCAGCATTATATTTCAAGTTAAATTTTTAATATTTTAATTTGTAGATGCAGCACAGTCCTTTGTGACTGTTAAAAAAAAGATGTTGAAGATACACCTAACTAATCATGCTTTGCCAAAGATCATGCAGGTGCAGGACAGGAAAGAGAGAGAAAAATGAAGATTACATTCATATGACCACTGATTTTATTTAAGTAGACAATGTCTGAGATTTTGCCTGAAGGAAGAGACTTTATGTGATTTTATAGACTTACTAGTAACTTATCTACTTAATGACAGTTCTTTTGAATTTTAAACATCTTACCTGATATTAATCAAGGGTTTCTGGATTTAAATTTAATTTGATAAAGTTTTTTTTTAAAATTGAAATAANGTCTGGTAGAGTAGTTAAGATGTATTAAAGGGACTCTGTAAGAGGGATTATTATTGTGCAATCACACTTATGTTAGAAGTTTTGTTTAAAGCTTTAGTTTTTAACATTAGAACAGTGATCAGTAAGCTAATTATTTGGCCGCAAACATTTTTTGCCACAAACTATTTTTTAATACTCACGAGTCACTATGATGTCATTGCAGACTTAAGATGTTGGAATAACTTTGAAATGTATCTGTGAGCACTGACAAAATATTAGTCTGTGAAAGAAGAATATTTGCTAGCAATTTACATAAACTGATGTACTAGTTTCGACAAAAGCTATTTATTTGCTAAATATGACCTTTTTTCCTCGTAGAATTATTTGTTCATATTTCTTAGGAATAGACATAAATCAATATTTGCAGTACCTCTGATTATAGTAAGTTATAGGAACTATAACTTATAAATGTCTGAAATAAAATGCTAGGCCATTTTGAAGTTGTGAATTTGAAAGAAATGTATTTATTTCTTCTGCTTTGCCCATTTTCTGCTAAATGAAGGCTATTGATTCAAGCATTCTGTCAGTTTCATACAATTGACTGTTTTGTGATATTTCAGAGCTCTTTATCTGGTCACAAAAATATCATTAGCACAGTTGAGTCCAGTATACGGCCGACTGGGAATGGCATTTATGAGGTGCTGATTCTTATGCAGTATTGTAAAGGTAAGAGTATTATGTTACAGAGGAACCAGTATTAGGTCATGTTAGCTGGAGCCAGACTTCTAAATTTTTAATTTATAATATGCAAGAAATTTTTAATTTATAATCTGCAAGAATAGCTTGATTGAGGTCTATGCATTTGCCCTGTAACAACTGGTTAGTCTTGAAACTTTTGAATCCTACTCATTAGTTACAAGTTGAAAAACATACAGTAGTATTACAGAATTTTTATAAAAACTTTGTCAGGTTGGAAATGATATGGACATTTTTTATCGGTAGTGAAAAGGCATTCTGAAAATCAATACAAATAGAATATATTTACTGAATGATACAGTCAAGTCCTGAATTGTTGCTGCACTATGCTGCACTAAAACTGAATGACAGGATATTAGTTAGAGCAACCACACGCATCTGGAGTCTGTCAGACCAAATTTGAAATGTCTGGCCAAGAATTTGTGTTCTGTCTACAATATTATTGATTGAATATCAGGTTATGATGCCAGCCTCATGAATATAAATTGTAGTGTCAAAGAAATACTGTGCAGTATATTGTAATTTATCCAATTATTTATGCATTACACTGAATAGCTAGATGTATTTGACCTCTATTATGGCAAAATTTCTTATATAAATCCCCATGTTTAAAAGGTACTGTACAGATGTGTGAATTTATGCTGAATATAAGATACCGTTAAAAGTACCTAGTATGCAACTAACCAGCGCAGATGAGTAAAATGTCTTAGTTGATGAGAGTTCAGAACTTTGGCATAAAAACGTCTTTCTGCCAATCAACACTTAACTACTGCTTTCAATTTGTTAGAATTTTTTAATCTGCCAAAACAACTATTGTCACTTCAATTACATTAAAATTGTCTTAACCTTTCTGCTTTTTAAAAGGACTGATCCATGTTGAACCAGGTACTGTTGTAAGAGTCTTTCTAACATGAAATTTCTTGCAGTAATATTCACTTTCAGACTGCTCTAATGCTGTATAATTCTCTTTCTTTTGTAATGTTCATGTCTGCAGATTATTATGATCTATCCTATTCCAGGTCATATCATCCAGAGCATGAATGACAGGTTAAATTCTGGGGGGTTCTCAGAGCGAGAGGTTCTCAAGATATTCTGTGATATATGTGAAGCTGTGTCCAGGCTGCATCACTGCCAGACACCTATTATACATAGAGACCTCAAGGTAAGAAACCCGCAGACTTGTGTGAGATAGGAAGGAAATTGAAAACTTCCTGAACATGTTATGAACTGTATTAAACCTTTATACCTAGATATTTATTTGAGCCAGTATAAACATTTTCAGCGGGTTTCTACTGCTTATGTACAATTTAATACAATGTGTCATGATTGCAGTACTAGTTGTAATGTATGTAAATATGTCTTCAATTAAGATAGCATATGTCACAATTGTTAGGTCATACCTTTTTTAAAATGTGCTGGAACCAATAAAGATTCATTGATTGATAATGTATTAATACTTTTGAAATCAAGCATTTTTTTCTCTCATACCTTAAATTGAATTTTTCAGGTAGAAAATGTGCTCATAGAATCGGGAGGAAACCATGTGCTCTGTGATTTTGGCAGTGCGACAGCAAAGTTTTACAACCCCCAGGTTCATGGGGTGAAGCATGTGGAGGAGGATATACATAAGTAAGAATGACTTTTATATAATTTTGTGTTAAGGCATAATCCATATTTAATATATGTGGTAATAGCTAGATCTTTCAATGGGCAAAAATTATCAAACTTTCAGATAAAAAACTATATTACAATATAGCATTGTGGTGCTTTTACTGCATAGAATAGAACTAGAGAGAATCCTGTTTTTTAATTTTGTTGCTATTACTTAATAGGAATGTTCTAATTAAAAAAAATTATGACAGTATCTGTAAAATTCACAATTTTCTCCCGTTATACTCTATATAAATATAAAGTTCTCATTCCTCCCTGCTTGTGGCATCCTAAATACAGCCCAAAAAAAATGACATTGATTATTTTTAGACACTTGGTTTTGTGATGATGATTATTTATTTATTTATTTATTCATTTATTGTTCTAGGTACACAACATTATCATATCGGGCTCCAGAAATGATAGATCTTTATAGTGGGAAGTTAATTTCAACAAAAGCAGACATATGGGTAAGTCTTATTGTGTTTGGATGTGCATATGGCTATTTATCTTGATTGGATCTCATTTTTGTCATTATACAATTAGACTGTAGTTATAGCATATATTAAATGCATAGAAATACATTCAGATCTTTTCCTGAAGAATTTCAATATAAGCATTAATTGTGTGATATGTGTACTCAAATAATAAGCTGACAATAAGAGATTGATAACAGTTGTGATATTTTACATCATAGCATTGTGTGAATGGTTTTGTTTGCAATTGTGCCACCATCCTTTGTAGGTTTAAGTAATGTGTTGCCTTCCATAAACCAACCATCCAAAATAACACTAATAATTTTGAATTGAATTTACTTTTAATTTGTTGAAAACCATACAATTTCTAATAAATGTTGTCTGTTTTTGCCAGTCCCTAGGGTGCTTACTGTACAACCTGTGCTTCTTCAAGTTGCCATTTGGAGAGAGTAGTTTAGCCATACAGAATGGAAACTTTACAGTGCCAGATGATTCTAGATATTCCAAAGAGATGCATGGACTTATAGGTAAGCAGTTAATCAGGAGATTTTGAGCTATGTCTCGTCAAGGAGTAAACAGGATGTATCAGATATATGGATTAGTCTAGGAGGTGACTTATCCTTAATAATCTTCTGGTAATGAGAACACTGAAGATGTAATAACATCATTTACATCAGTAGATATCAGAGCTAAAAGTTATGAAATAGGAGACCATCAACTTTTATTATTGTTACCCTGAACAGACCCATAATTAGTAGGCTGTTCTGATACTGAGAATTAAATCTGGTTATAATGTTTTATGTTGTAGGTTACAATATCTATATAAATGGGTGATGACCATTAACTGTATTGTGGTAGTATTACTTCAGCCAGAAAATTCAAAATTTAAAAATTTTATGGTACATCACTGAGCATTTTAAATTCAATCATATATATATTAATGCATGAATTTTTTTTTATTTACAGACACTTACAGAATTACTAATTAGATTTCATGTTATCTTAAAATGTAACCACTGTTTATTCTTTGATTTTTCTTAAAATGAAGATGCTAGATTTTCAGACAAATCTTCAATATGAAAAAGTAAGAGATTTTAAACTGTTTTTTAGCATTCATGCTTGAAGTAGACCCAGATAAAAGACCAGACATTTTTCAAGTTTCACATGTGGCATTTCTGCTGGCAAGAAGAGAATGTCCTGTGCCAAATTTACACGTGAGTATATATGCTGATTATTTATTAATTATCCATTGCTTTCAAAACAAAGATGGTATAGTTGAAAGTACACATATATTTTAGGCAGATGGTGGTATGATAATGATNCAAAAAGTGTGCCAGATGTTAACAGCGCTGAATACAGAGCCCTGACAGAAATGTCTGTACATTATTATTATTATTATGTACTCATGAAACATGCACATACACATACTAGCTAATACATACCTTAACTTGTAAAGATAATGCTGTAGTAAATTAGGGACCACAGTTGTAGATGTCCAAGTTTAAACACACTGGACAATTTGGAGAAGAATACATACATGCCAGGCCCATACAATGTAAATTGGCTAGTACAAGTGTAATCGTTGAAAAATGTAACTAAATCGATGTCATGCTTGCTTTATACGTAACTTTATAAATAACTTTATAAAAGAAGATTCAAAGAGAAAAAAATAATCAGAAAAACTAATAAATGCACATATCAATTCCATTTTCAACTGTAATCATTTTGAACACAAATCTGTCACTCAAAAGGCAACACCTCACACTGTTGTCAGTAACAGGAAAACAATTCAGAGAAAAACCACCAGAGAAAAAAAAATGGGTGAAAAAAAACTAAGTACACCCAGGAGTCCCTCCTTCCACAAGGCAGAGATTTAAGATTGTACAACCGTTGACACAGTCCAATACACAAGTTGTGCAACAGTTAAAGAAAGAGAAATTATTTCCAAAGTCTTATAATAAACACTGAAATTTTTTAAAAAATATCGCTGTAATTGGGACAGTATTGTTTCATATGAAATTTACTAACAGCAGAGTAATAGACTGTAGAGACAGGAATACCTGGAAGAAAAGATGTCCCACACAAGCCCATCATTATATACCTTTCTAGCCATTTCATTTATTGTGTTGCAAGGAACCAGTCTGAAAAAGAAATGATAATACCGATATAATGAAGGAAAATTTATTTTCAGATAATCTGAAAGCTGGAGGTGTTTGGTAAGGGGACTGTCCTAGGGGGCAGGGTCACCCATCATGGTGTCAACCTTGCAATACACAATAATTTGGGTGTCCCTTCTCTGAGGACAGAGGTGCTGCTGCCCACAGCTTCCACCATAGAGTGAAAATTTGTAAAGCCACAAACAGTATAATCTTTTTTTTATATCAAAATGAGAAAATGATGACATAAGATGAAAATAACTTGCTTTTAAACTGAAAAAGAAAATGAAAGTTTCACATGTTTAGGTATTTTTATATCTTTATCAATTCCTCACAGAGTACACCTTCCAGCTCTCCAGCCAGATATTCTCCTGCACAAAAACTCCACCTCTGAGTGAAACTTTAGTTAAAGACATGGAAACATGGTAGATTTTATTCCATCCTAAAAGATAGATGGGTAATCAAGGGTTACTTTACATTCCATATTTTATTTTGGACAGCCAAGTCCACAGTAAGAGTAATTCTCAAAGAAAACCTATTAAAAGCTAAACTAGTGGGCAGGGCGACTTCCCTCGGGGGATGGAACCCCAAGAGAGGTGTGAACCTGTCAAGGTTCACCAGTGTGGGTGTCCCATCTCTCAGGGCAGTATCTTTGTATTTTACTTTTTTATTTTGAATAGCCAAGGCCACTGTTAGAATAATCTTGACAAATAACTTTTTTAAGGCTAAAGTGGTGGACAGGGGAACTGCCCTCAGGGGGAAGGGACACCCGGCATGGTGTCAATTTGCCAAGATACATCAACTTTTTAAAAGAAGATATTCACATGCTTTTGTTCAATTAAGGTCACACTTTTTTATTTTTATGGATGACATCCTCTGGGTACCCCAAAATCGGTGCGAGAGGGCGAAAAAAAAAAACAGTCCAAAAAAAAAATACTGCTTAAGTAAAGGAATGCTGGAAACACAAATTTTACCACAGAAACATGTATCAAACTAACAATATGTCTTTATCCATGCTCTCAAAATATTAAAGCATTGTGAATACTTTGTAGAAATGTAAAAAAAAGTCATGAATAGATATACTTCTTATTACAAAATCTATTAAGGTTATTTCATGCATTTTGTTGGTATAGCAATCAATAAAACAAATATCAAACAGTGTGTCTTTATTTGTATTTTCAGAATATTAAAGCATTTTGAACACTTCACAGAAATGTTTAAAAAATAATGCAAAGATATGCTTAATACTACCAAATCTATTAAAGGTCATTTCGGACGATGCCATTTTGNATGCAAAGATATGCTTAATACTACCAAATCTATTAAAGGTCATTTCGGACGATGCCATTTTGTCTACTTCGGCTCACACGGCCAAACTGTCAGGTGGCCTGTCCGACCTTCAGCCCACCAAATACCTCAACGCCCTTGTCGACCCTTTTTTCGCTACAGAAAACCTGGTAGCCTATGTGCTGCTTTGTACAGAATGCCTTTAGCACAATTGTAAAAAGGTGATACCTCCATGCCCAATATCAATGGCATACCAATCCAAAACGACGGCACCCGTTCTCTTGACTTTAATTGTCGTGTAGTTTGAAAGTAATCCTAGAGATAAATTTGACGGCAAAGCGGCCACATTTCCACGTGGCGATAATAGGCATGCACAGAAAGCTCATTTCCTGGCAAATTCAATAACGACGTTTGCGACAACCGACTTCGTTGGGAACTGGGGGGGGGGATTTTTTGTTTCGGAGAACGGGCGAAAATCGGTGCGCGCGCAGGATGTCATCCATAAAAATAAAAAAGTGTGGCCTAATATCACCCTAACATGCATGTAGCAGGTATGATATTAATGCATGCAAGTGTTCAGTTCCTAACCAATCTGTATTAAGATTGTAATAAGACTGTCGGAGTAATACAGAAATAGGTAATTCGACAACAGCTTTTATCTCTTAAAGCCCTCAAATGATAAAATTGATAATTAAAAGTTAACAAACAGGTTTGACTACAAGATAAAAGGTCAGAAAGGGCTGAAGAATAAAGTGACTGGAAGGGGTCAGGAACATCATGTAACTTACTCTTTGACATGAAGACTTCATGAGCTGTTTCTCTATTTCAGAAAAACCAGGAAAAGTTATATAGCTTAAAACCTATAGGTTTCACAGCACATTGCAAGAGGTTGGAAAGTTTACACCAATGAGAGGTTAACAAGCAGTAAAAATAAATGAAAAATAAATAAATAAATAAATAAGAAAAAACCGGGAAGGCACATCAAAGATCATGCAGCCAGACATGATAGTACTGGAACTGCTGAGAAACACCAAAGAAAAAAGTTTTTGTGAAAAAACTTTCCAGTGCTACATGTATAAAGAAAAATAAATGACACAAATCACATTAAAAGAAATACTTGTCATTTATAAGACATTAAATCCAAACATGAAGAATCAAGTGTAAAAATAAATTTAATTAATTAAAATGCACTTTTGAAGACCACAACCTAATTAATGGTGATGCTTGCTATGTGGGGCTACATGTATAAGCCTTATAAATGAAATGGGCAAAGTAAATAGAATTTGAGTATCTTAAATAGTATAATTTTTAAAGTATAAGTATAATTTTTAAAGAGGCAAAATAGGTAGACAAGTTTTAAAATTCCTGATACTCACATTTAATTATAATGAGCAATTTCCATTAATTGTTATGTAAATTCAATAAAAATTGCATTTTTTGAGAGGACCCCCTCTCAAAAAGAAGCTGAACATGGTATATATATAAACAAAAGTCACAAGGCAACAAGATAACCACAAATTTAACATCAACAAGGAAACAACTTGGATAAAAGGACAGTAATACTGTACATTCACTGCAAATCTAACCACTCAGAAAGTGTCATCAATGCTATATTGAACTTAATAAACATGAGGCTATCCATAATTTCCTGCAATGAAAACATGTTCAAAACATCAAAGAGCGAGTACTAAGATACACTTAGTAACTCAGATATTGAAAAACTAGCAAGTAATTCAGTTTCATGGGCTATAAAAGACACTGAAAATGCTAATGTGTGAAAAATAAAATATTCAAAAAAAAATAATAATAAAATTGAATAATTACCGTAAATGTAAACCAATCAGGCCGATTTTCGAAAGCAACCTGCCTTCTTACCAAACAAAGCCACTCAGTTAACTTAATATAAAACAAAAATAAGGTTTGGCAGTTACAGGGTGAACATCACCATAAGTAGTGCAAAAAAACCAAGAATAATTACCATAAATGTAAATCGATTGTGCCAATTTTCAAAAGTAACATGCTTCTTTGCCAAACAAAGACAATTAGTAAACTTTAAAGTAAAACAAATAATACGGAAAAAGCTAATGTCCCTACGTAGAGAGGTAAGAAAATTTGATTCATGAAACTCATATTGTTATTTGACTGTCTTGAAAATTGCTGCATCCATTATCTTGTTTGTCTGTTACATGTGAAGTTCAGTAGTCCTGTGTCTCCTAGTACAGTGTAGTAGTCTTGAGTCGTTGTGTTCCATTGTGGCAGTATAGTCCTGTGTATCCTAGTACGGTGTAGTAGTCTGGAGTCATTGTGTTCCATTGTGGTAGTATAGTCCTTTGCCTGCTAGTACAGTGTAGTAGTCTGGAGTCATTGTGTTCCATTGTGGTAGTATAGTCCTGTGCCTGCTAGTACAGTG